TTTCATCCACATCCATCAATGCATAAGCTTACATGCATACAACAACAATCATCGAAACATCAACTATACATAATCTACAACAAATTCAATAACATCCAGAGAAACATAACGATATCAACATTGTTGCTACGCCTCACTTGAAACTGATTTAAACAACATTACCTTCATATTTCCATAATCTCCTTTCTCACCCTTTAAACCCAACAACCACAGATAACCATCATCATCTTTATCTCCCAACGCCTCTCACCTTCTGTCAACTGCAACACGCCCGCAGCAGCTCGTCTCAACAGACAACAACACAACTTGATTTTGAACAGAATTTTGGAAGAGAATAAAAGGAGAATCAATATACAAAAGCCAACCACCGTACCTGAATTCGGATAAAAATCTCCTCTTCATCGGTAAATCACTCAATTTCTTTTGATTTTTTTGTGAACGTGGTACTTCATTTTTATGCTTGCTTGTTGATCTCTTTGGATATTAATATGATTCGTTGTTGTTTGTTAGCCATCGTGTGATAAGAACATAAGAATCGATAAAAACAGATAGTTGTTGTTGTTGTTGTTGTTTATTGTGATAATCGCGAGAGAGACGGAGAAAAAGAACTCGACACTTACCAGCAGAATCGAACACCGACAACTCGGGAGGAGGTTAAATCTTGATGCTTCAACCATGGAACCATTTTTTAAAAATTGTGAGAGAACAGGGGTGAGTACGGTAAGTGAGAGAGGGTATCGAATGAGATGATGGTAACATAGAGAGAGAAATTTATGATCTACTTTAATTTTGTTGTTAATTATATTTTATTGGGAAATAATCAGGATTAATTGAATGAAATTAGTTGAATGGATCTTTCCAATGTAAGCATGCAACCGTTTCACCTTCTTGGTCATCCTAGGGTTTCTCATGTGCATTTTTGGGTTGAGCCTTGACCACTAAGTCCATTCGCATTTTCCCCTTCAACGTGAGCCCATCCGAAACTGATTAATATTCACCTCCCATTTTCTGTTTCACACTTTTTTTTATATAATTAATTGAGTTTAGATTTAAATTAGTAATTTTACTATTAGTATAGTTTATATTTAAATTAGTAATTTTATTATTAGCATAGTTTAGATTTATTTTAGTAATTTTATTATTAGTATAGTTTAGATTTAAATTAATAATTTTATAATTAATTTAGTTTATATTTAAATTAATTTAGATGTAATTTAGTAACTTTAGACTTAATTTACTTTAGATTAAATTTAGTAATTTTGGAAATTTTAATTTTTATAGCTTTTAGAATTTTAATTTAGTCTAGATAAATTTTATTTTAGTTACATCTCTATTCTACATCTTTACTTTCTTTTCTATCAAAAAATGCCAAAAACAATTTTCTTTCTCTTTTCATTTTCTCGTAATTTACTATTTTCACATTTTTTCCGATTATTGTAACTGCTTACGGCTGTAATAGTTTAATTAGGTTTTTACTTTTCTCCTATTTTTTATGGTTTGTAACCTCATCCCTGAAGCATTGTAATAGCGTAGATTTTATTTCCCGTACTTACTTTCCGCACCTATAACTATACTTGTGTGTATATATAACTATCTAGTAATTAGACGTGTATGGCAAGACATAAAATCAACCGCTAGATAACCCTAATCAAGACAAATTAACTGAAATCAAAACACTTTGCACACGCGCACCTCTAGGATAACCTCGCTTATTGCCTTCGGATAAAACAGTCATGTCCCTCTAATGTGGGACGCTTTAGCAAAGACTCTCTGTTAAAAAAGATCGTAGTCCCTCAATGACTCTTCGATGCTGCCTTGGTAAACGATCTTAGTCCCTTACGACAAATTGCTAAAGCGCCCTACAAGTTGCCTTCTAGAAATGCACGATGACTCACGCCCGTCCCTCAAGCATCCAACGATAGGGTTTCCTACTAACTAATGATAGGATAGCACTATCTAAAGGAGGAGGAAAATAAAAAAGACTTTTTGAGTAGGTAGATCGCTCGTAATTGCTTGCTCACAAACTAAAACAATTTTCACACCTCAGGCTTTCAAGACAACCATTTTCAAAACGCTTTATAAACACTCATGAGGAGTGATACAAGGATTATTATAAATCAAATTGCCTTACATTGGTATTTTTAAAACATTTTTCACAAAGAACAACACTTTCTTTCGATAAATATTTTCAAAATAAATATTTTGTATACATTCTCAACGATACGAGAATCATTACAAAATTGTCGTACTTAGGCATTTTCAAAATATTTTCAAACATACACAAGCACAAAGCATTTCAAAAAAAAAAGTGAGCTAGCGATTAAGAGCTCATAGATAACTACGGATGAAAAGGGTGCTAACACCTTCCGTTTTCATAACCTACTCCCCTTACTCAGAAAAATTCTTAAAAGGTCTTTCTTGTTCTTTTCACCATTTCCTTTATTGGATAAAAGAAAAGCGGGTGGCGACTCTTGCTACCCGCAACATTTGCGATAAAACGCAACAACCAAAAGTTAATTCTCCCATCGTATAACAGTGGCCGACTTTTGTACTAGGGATACATTGAACTGCCCAGCTCGAAGACCGTGTTGGAATTCCCCAACAAACAATTCTTGATTGGGGTGGGAAACTTTAATGGTTTCTTCGTTGAACCTAGCAAGGTACTCCCGTAGAGGTTTCGTCTGTCCTTGCCGGACATTGAACAAAGTAGTCGTCGAGACCTTTTGGTGTCTGTTGGCTGAAAAGTTGCACCAACTTCTTGGTCAGGTCTGAGTAACTTTATACGGATAGCCGAGGAAGGATCATGTACCACCTTAGAGCCACTTCAGCGAATCAGTAGGGTCTATTATTGTCATCTGATTATTGACAGCAATAACATGCTCCCGTGGGTCAGCTTTGTCGTCGTAAGATGTGAGCGATGGTGATTTAAAGTTCTCAAGGACTTGATCGTCCTATATAGTTTGAGAAAGCGGATGGGGCTCCAGAAGCTCCTCTTCTGAGTGTTCGTCCCCTTGGCTTCTTTGCTGCATGTTTGTTACCCTATCCTACAGAGTTTCACTCTGTTGTCTGAGGGCCTCCACCATGACTAGTAGTTGTACCATGTCTGGGGGATCTTGGTCAGTCGATATTCTGTCGAATGTGATTTGAGGTGTGGCCTATGACAGTTTTACCGAGGCCTCACGGAGGGTGCCAAATGCTCTTGCGTTGGAACAATAAACGAGTAGCTTCCTTATAGGTATAGGGAGAGCTGAAGGGGTATATTTCTATAGAGTATTTGGAGATTTGGGAGATACGTCAGTGGTGCGTATTGTCCCAAGATGAATGTCTTGCTTATCCCTCTGGTGAGAACCCCTTATATAGTCTTCCTTTTACGCTATATAGGAGCTCCGATCAAGGTGTGGCCCCTGGGCTTCGTACCTGTATAACTACCGCCCTCACCATGAATGAAGGTGTTCCAGACTACGTAACGCTGGGTTTAACGCGTCGGCGAAGGTTATAGTTATTAATGAGTCGGGTTGATGATCAGCTCTGGGTAGGTGAACTCCGGTTACAAGTGATATCTGAGTTGGTAGTGCATATGGATTGTTGCTCGAAAACAACGATGATCGATCAACACCTTTAGCCGGGTTGCACCTCCTTCCAAGTATCCCTTATTATTATGGGCTCGACATTAGTCTTATTCTTTTTTCAGACGATTTCATAATCTGGTCAGAATTGATATTTTCGAAATATATATATATATATATATATATATATATATATATATATATATATATATATATATATATATATATATATATATATATATATATATTAGTCGTCTTTATAAGATATCAGCAATCCACAAAAATTATACTAGACCAACACAAAATCATGATCAGAGCTTATTTATTTGTACAAGAAGTTGTTAGAGGTTGGGGCAGAAGATCGGAGCTTATTTGTATGTCGACCCAGACCATACTAGAGCTAAAAACCAAAGGCTACAGAGGAGGAGACAAACCTATATTACAACTATTTGTTGGCTACATCTGGTGGTGGGGTAGCATACCACCCAAAATAGATCCTATCCTTAATTGGTAATTCTTGTACAGCTTATTTTGAGGTTGATCTATTGTCTTGACTGGTTTAAATTCATAAAATTTCAATTACCCGATTCAATTTAATCACTTGAACCAAACCAAATGGTTTTATTTAAAACCAATTTATACTGGTGCTTAATTATGTCCAACTCCTATTTATGAATGGTTGATTTACCCTCTGATGTTAATTCAGCTGTAACCTAACTAGTAGGTAGTTAGCTATAAGTAGTGTTTAAGGAACATCTGACATTGAAGTGTCGGAGTTTTTCTGGAAATTGTAGTGATAACATCCAGTGCACTGGTAGTATACAACTACTGACGAATTGCTTTAAGAACAAAAAATAGTGGTAATCCGTAAGATGGTTGAGGTATTAATGTCCAGATACACATACTAGTCTTAGTGGTGTATGGATATGCATCATGCATCATGCATGCATGGATGTGAGATATTGGCCACAAGTATCATCATTGTAGCTAGCCGTCACAGCCGTACATGCTATTCCATCACATGTTTTTCCGTTGGATTGGTGATTTTAGTGACTATAAAAACCAAATATCTTGATGACATGCATCATATGGTTCGGTGCTGGTGTAATGATATTATACAAAACAAAAGAATAGAAGCCAAAATGAGAAAATGACAAATAAAAAACAAGAACATGGACCGACAAAGCGGGTTGTGCAAAACGGCCACAAGGAGGTGGCATCAGAATCACAACAAACCGTTTTTCACAGCTGCTCAGTACAGTACAGTACTACCCTCTCCCTCTCACCAAAATCATGTAAACACGGTTAACATTTTGTCTTTTTATGAAACCACCAAGGTTAACATTTTGAAATGAAATGATGAATACACGTATAATCTCACTCTCACTCCTACTATATAATCTCCACCTCTTCACATCTTCTTGCTTTTCATTCTCAAACACCAATGGACCCATGTTTACCGGCGACACCTCCTCCTCTGCCATAGACCCAATGTTCTCCGCCTTCACCCTTCAATCTCTTCTCACTTTCAACCCTTCCTTCTTCACCGACACTTTTCACACCATAACAGACGAACCTTAACTCCCTAACCTCCCTCAATCTGCCACCGACCAAACTCCATACCTTAACCTCAACGACAACAAAAATCTCCTAAAAGTCCCAAAAACCGAACGCCCTCTTAATCTTCCTCCACTAGAAGAATATCTCCCACTTCAACAACAACCCTTCAAATTCCTCCCCCAATACTACCCACCTTTACAAACTTTCCACCGTCTCCCTCAACACTCTAACACAAAACGCCTCCGCCACCTTTTCACCGAGGAAACAACTCCACCACAACAGAAACAACCTCACTCTGTTCGTGGAAAATCTCCTTCTTTGATTCCTCAGAGCAAATTAGCAAGACAGAGAAGACAAACTCTAAGCCAGAAAACACATTGTTTGCAGAAACTAATGCCATGGGATAAGAAAATGGATCAAGCTACCCTTTTTGAATAAGCTTACAAATATGTTCAGTTTTTGCAAGCACAGATCTCTGCTCTTCAATCAATGCCTTCTCATTCAACCACCACCACCGCCTACAGCGGCGGCGGCAATGGTGTTTTTGGTGAGTTGAAGAAGCTGAACAGAAAGCAGGCTTTGCAGGGGTTGCACAAACAAATCTTTATTCCATGGAACAAATCTCTGTCCTCAGAAAATCTTCAGAGAGAAGACAACAGCAGCAGAATATGTCTGATAATGCTTCTACTTCAAAGACTTTCTTTCATTAAAGACCAACAAAACGATGTCGTTTATAACATCTTTTCAATGTCTTTTTATGCTTAGTGTGTTTACTCTCAGTTTCTGTCAAGCTTTCTAGTGATTTTCTAAGTGTTAACTTTTTTTCAGGAAGAAAAAAACTCTCTGTTTCGTTTTTAGCTATGGTTAAGCTAATTTTGTTGATGCTTATTATTGTTGAGTATTAAAGGACTTAAGCGTTTTTAATGTTTAATATGCTTGCTTTGCTGTTAAAATATTAAATTTCTTGCTTGCTACAATACTGCTATCATTATTCTAGTATTTCGGATGGGTAACTTTTAAGTTGTTTGTGACTGTTTTTTTAGTTGAATTAATTAATGAATGATTAAGTGTTGATTTTCATAATCATATTGCTATAAAGCTTTCACATTAATTCATATTTAAAAATGGTCGTTAGAATTCGAAGTTTTGATGTTCTTACACAGAGTAGTGTTGTGTTGTTGAAATAGTAGAGTTTATAATCTTGTCAGAAGTAGAAATTGATGAGATTATGCTAGAAATATGATTAACTTTTAGGATTCTAGTTTATTTTGTTAACGTAATTATAAAATTTAATTTGTCTATTAACTTAGTTATTAAGTTTATTTTTTATAGTTTATGTGATAATTTATTTTCTATATAAATAAATTAGTAGTAACTGTCTTATTGTAAATAATCTTTTATATTTTTATAGTCATTTTTTCTGTCTTTATTATTTTGTGAATAAATAAATTAGTAATAACTTTCATATTATAAATAATCTTTTATATTTTTATAGTTGTTTTTTCTGTCTTTATCATTTTGTGCACTATAAGTTATATATATACGAGATTGAATGAATAATTCCTTTGGTTTTAATTTCCAAATACCTTGGGAGGACTAACTACTTAAATTAAGATTTGTAATGATTTGATATTGATTTAAGGATTATAGAGTATTGTATGTATTTATTTGATTTTAAATTTAAATGAGGGTTAAATCGTATTAGAAGTTTGATATTTGAATCAAATTCAAGTATTTGATTAAAATTTGAAATTCACATGTTTTTTTTTATCTTGAAATTTTTTTGGGGAGGATAGTTACTTATTGCTTGAAAGATGTTTTAAAAAAAGTGAACATTCATATATCCTTTAAATTTGATTGGTACTTAACAATCATCCATTCATTGCCCTGTCATTTTTATAAAATAATTTGTTTTTATTTAAATTAAAATTTTAAGTCAAATTTGCCTAAAGTACTGCTACCCAATTAAATATCATAGGTACTGAAGAATTTATTTTTTAAAAATTGTAAATGTAAAAAAAGAAGCTAATTAAACACATTAATATTTAGTTATTATCCCTATTCTAACCTAACTCTTCATAAAGATTATATAGGTTGTTTTCTTTAGAGAAATAATATTACCATTTAGGTTATCTCTATCATTCAGGTTGTGTTTTTCTTTAGTAAAGATGGATCTCAATCATTTAGATTATGTTTTTTTTAAAATTTACTATTTATTTTTTTGGTATCATTTAAGTACTGTTTCTAGGTTTAATGAATATTTAATGAGAATGTAAAATAATTTTATACTATTATTTAATTAAAAATATTAATTTATCATGTTATTGAAAAAATTTAAAATAAAAAAATAATTTAATTGAATATATAGTAGTGATTGATTCACAATATGTTATCTCTTTTCTCAATATTTTTATTTTATTTTTTATTTAGAGCAAAAATGAAATGGAACAACCAGATATTTGCAACACATGCATTTTTTTTTTCTAACTTAAGCCGCACATCTATATTTTTAAATATTTTTTTTAGATTTTTGAGATAAAACTATGTAAAGAATATGTTAAGAATGTCTTTTTTTCGTTTAAAATCTTATTCAATAGGTATTTTCCTAACCTTTCACTCCACTTTTGTGTATTAATCTTTTTTCTTGAAGTATATTAGTATTTATAAAAAAAATTGAATAAAAAGATGATGATAATTGATAAAATAAATTTAAATAATATCATCATATTTTATAAATAATTTATACAATAAGACAATTTTATTATATTACATTGTATATTAATCTATAATATAAATTAAAATATAATTTTTTATTTCAATACTTCAAAATTTATACAATAATATAATACTTTGTTTTTTTTCTTTCGATCTGTACATGTCATTCGTCTATTTTTTTATAATTTTTTTTGAAGTCACAATCTCTTTGTGTCCTGCATCTATATTTTATAGTTTTTCTTGCAGTCATAATCTCTTTTTGTAATTTATACAACATTTATTTAATTTTCCGTTAAAACAAAGTATATCCTTTCATAAGATAGTGTGGTTGATAGATAACCCAAGTTCAACTTTATTTCACATGCAAAATGAGTTATGCAACCACTCCAGTTGTATTGAACATGTTTTACAAGATCTTATATACAATAATATTATCTTTACAAGTTAACTATTCTCCGTCCATAAACAATGAAATTACATTAAAAATAAAATTATATATATATATATATATATATATATATATATATATATATATATATATATATATATATATATATATATATATATATATATATATATATATATATATATATATATATATATATATATATATATATATATATATATATATATATATAAAAAATTAAAAAATATCTAAATTTTATTAAGGGTTGATAGAATAGTATGAAGGAAACTAATGAAAAAGTTATAAGACTATAAATAATAGATTTGGCTAGACTAAGTTAGTTTGTTCAAATTTTTTAAACTTTATAACTTAATTTATTAAATTACTACTTATTAAATCAGAATGACATAATTAATAAAAAAATCTTATAAAATAAAATTTAATAATATAAAAATTTAAAATGTATTTATTAAAAGATAATAATTTAATTAAAAAAACTTGTTGAAATAAACACACAACTTTATATTAAAAAAAATCTCGTCCACTTTAACAATTTAAAAATTCAATTAATTAACCGCATATATATATATATATATATATATATATATATATATTAGTTTCATGGTTTTACAATAAGTTAAGTTTTGATAAAACATAATTCTATACTGATGTTAATCAAGATGTTATAAATCTCCATCAACTGTTATGATAGTTCAACTGTTATGTATTTTTATTCAGATGTCGAAGACATATCTTATGACATCCTGGACGGTGTACAACAGGCATTGTTGTTGTATATCTCTTGACAGATTTAATTTGATTTGATGAGATCCTATTGAATATACATCATCATTATGCGCATGTCAAGGAGATTATTTAGGAATAAAGTGCAGATTTAATTGAATTTCTTAAAAAGGATCTTGGAGACTTTTTAGAAAGATTTAAAAAGATTTGTTCCTATTTTTATGGGAAGATCTTACATCTATTTTGGAACGTGCAGATTGGAACGTGGAGATCGGATCTTTTGAAGAGTCCAAGCCCATTTTGCAAGAGTCTATATAAAGGAACTTCTTAGACCTAAAATAGCTAGCATTCACATAGAAGAAACCATGTATGCAACATAAGGTATAAGGTTTTGGGAGTCTTTTAGGTTTTTAGTATTTGTATTCTTTGTGTGTCACTCATGTATCTTTTGATGTATTGAGTTGACTGATTGTTGCTTATTTATCAAGTTATTATTCTCACCCATGAGCTTTTAAGCAAAGGGTTAAGTATTGTTCTTAGTTGAAGCTTTTAAGCAAATCTAAGTATTGTTCTTAGTTAAGAGTCTTGACTAAGTATTTTTTATTTTAAGTGTAATGTTCTTTTGGGTTTAAGTCTAGTCACATCGTTTGTGGCTATAGGTATATCGCTGCGATGATTGGAAGTGGGAGGTTCTCATATCTAGGAGGTTCCTAGGTAGAAGTTGCACACGGTAGTGATTAGGAGTAAAGTTGTAAACTGGGATTGTTTAGGCTTTTAACTAATACTATATAATGGATTTCCTTTCTGACTTGGTAGCCTCCAATGTAGGTGACGTTGCACCGAGCAGGGTTAACAATTGATTGTATTCTTTAAATTTTTGCAATTTGTATTTCTACACAATCAACAACAAGTTTTCTCTGAACAAATGTCATAACATCTGTCATGACATCGTGTTTCTGTGTTAAGACATCAGTCTTAACCTTTGTATTGCAAGTGCCAGAATTTCAATTGGCATCAGAGCAGACACCCTGTTCTGTCTATTGGGTGAGCTCCAGGGAGACTATTTTTTGGTACTATGGATAAAGAAGGGGGATACAACAACAGATCACTTCTATTAGATGGTTCTAATTATGATTGGTGGAAAATTAAAATGGTGGCTTTTTTGAAATCGATGGACAGTAAGGCTTGAAAGGCTGTTTTAAAAGGATGGGAACATCCTGTTATACAAACAAAGATGGGAAGGTATCATTAAAGCCATAAGAAGATTGGAATGATAAGGATGATAAATTAGCTCTTGGAAATTCAAAGGCCTTGAATACTTTATTCAATACACTAGATAAGAATGATTTCAGGCTGATTAATGTACGTACTATAACAAAGGATGCTTGAGAAGTTCTCAAGACAACTCATAAAGGTACATTTAAACTAAAGATGTCAAGATTCCAACTTCTAACTTCTAAATTTGATAATCTAAATATGAAGGATGATGAGGTCGTTCATGAATATCATATGAAGATTCTTGAAATAGTTAATGC